CCAGGGCCCTGAACATGGAAAATTGCCAAAAAGAAGGGGTGGGCGCATGCCAGGAGATCCCCGGCAAAAAAACGAAAATTCGCGAAAAATTTACAACACACAGATCGAACTGCAGCAGGGAAAAAACGGCAAATGAAAACATGCAACGGAAATAAATGAACAATATGCAACACTAGAAGTAAAACAAAAATAATGTATTGCTTATAATGTGACAAATAAACCAGAAATAATAAAAATCGACAGTGAGGAATCATTTGAATTAGGATTTTCCCGCCAACAAACATGCCCAATACGCGTGAACTAAAAATGAATTAAAATGTCAGGGGTTAAACTGCGTAAAATGATTTCTGGTCTCGACAAATTACGAATCAACCGTCATACAAGAACAATACCGGTAATAATTTACAAATTCACACAGTAAAAATAATAAAAATTTATAGTTGTTTGAAAAAACTTCTCAGATCTTTATTTGTACGTTCATTGCCATCGTCGTCAAACTCAAAACCCTCAAAGTCCAAGTCGGCGTCACTGTAGCCGTCGAACAAAATCCCTACAACTTATTCCTGAAGTTCGTCAATATCGTCCCACACAATTTAGACTTAGCACTTTCAATCCACGGATTTCGCACTCTGTCAGCTTGGCACTTTTCATTCATGTCTAATCATAATAAAGAGACAAGAAAAATGGGGTCGCTCTGCTGCGACGGCACACGATGCTTTTGTTTACAGTCTATCAATCATCTTTGACCTTTATGCATCTGCTTTACTGATTGGCTAAGAATGACATCACTACTAGTATTTCATCATAAAGGTTAAATCGTGACATTGCTTTCTTATCAGACTCGCCGCTTATCAATCACGGTGAAAGTTATCATTCAGCAAGTGACGGCGGTTGGAATGTCTCATTAATATATGGATATCGCGATATACTTGAAATAGGAAGTTTTTTTTTTTATCCAACGACAGAAGAATAGTTTTCATGACAGAAATGCAATAGCAGTGATGAAAGATGGTAAAAAAGTTGGCAGTCTTCGGCGTGACATTGCAAAACTGCTGGCCCCATTTATGGATTCGCAAGCTGCTACAAAATATTTTATGAAGCCAAAATAACGTGATTTCAACCACTCTCCCAGGTACGGGTTGCTACAATATTGCAACATTGGTTTCATTGTCGACGACGCTAAAGCCGAACGAGTGCGATACTTGCTTAGCGGCTCTCTTTATACGATTTGCTTGAATCGTTTCTAAGGAAGCACAAACCAAACGGCCGGCCCTTTTTAAAAGAGAACTACCGTTTCTGCTTTAATATATATTCTTATAGACTTGCTGACTGCTATGATTCTGAAAAAAATTAGCGGTGAACGCGCTGCCCTGAAGGCAGAAAGCTGTCACAGCTATTTTGCATTCACCTCTTGTTTTACGCAATTAACAATTGTTAAAAGTATCACGACAGACTTCAAGAAAGTCAACTGTTAATACAACCACAGTCAACGAATAGAAAATAGTTTTTTTGTGTGTAGAAAAAGACCCCCTGGGCCTGTGCCCGAATATGACCTCAACTTCTTTATTGTGTCAAAAGTGGGGGGTGGGCGTTTGCCCAGGCATGGGCTCTTAGTTTAAGAACCTTTTAAAATATTTCAATGAAACTTGGTATGCTGATGAATTGGGATAATGCTCAGACATGGTTAGGTTATAATAGAAATCTGTGCTTATTAATTACCGATTTTGCATGATAATAAGATAATAGCTGTTCAATTTATAAGAACCGTGCAACACCATTCTATGAAAATTGTTATATAGATGCATTGGGAACCTGATAAGAATATGGTGGAAATCTGTGCATATTGATTATCTCATTTGCATTATAATTAGCTGGTATTTAGTTATTCCAGTAATAAGTCAAGAGCTATTATCAGGTAACCTCATTTTTTAGCAGTTCCACCATAAAATGATGTATGGAACCATTTTTCATGTAATTCAATCTAATAAAAAAAAAACTCTTCAATTTCTCAGCACTCTGTAAGTCACTATATGATAAATACATGAATTGGGTGCAATAACTACAGCTTATTATACTTCTATACAACACAACTCCTGATGGGGCTGTAGAAAAACCTTCTAAAACTTGCCAAATTTGCAGTACCGGTATTACTTACATATTACTTACATTAAAGTACAGTAACTCAGACTCTAATGGTCTAATTGTGGTCATGGTTCTAGTAAAATAGTAAAAATAAATTTCATGTGCGATTGGTCATTTGTGTTAAGCTGGCACAACATAACATTGTATACCGCGCACTATACATGTAGTTAAATTTATGTGCATGCCTGCAATGTGTTAAACAGTGGACATCACATCTGAGACAACAAAGTCATTAATACATTGGGTCATTCATTATATGCTGCTCACAATATGTATTAGGATGATACTGAGTAATTATCTGTCATATAAAAGTGTATTGTAGCCTAAACAGTTAAAATTTTATAACATACCCAGACCAGTTAATCAAATAGTTACATTTTAATTTCAGTATCTAGAGATTGGTTTTATTCATATATTAAAACCATTCCACAATTTTTTCATTTCTTTGGCTGAGTGTTACTATGACAACCACGTATTTAGATGTTCAGCCAGGATATTGAAAGTAACCCTGAATTAAATTACAGTGATATATTGTCATGTAATGCCAAGTATTTTTTTGACCATATCTTATTGTGGTTAATTGAACTGCAGCCTTGACATACTTCCATATGTCCTTGTCAGACATGTCTAAAAAAAACAGTAAATTAAAATGAGGCAATCAGGTAATTATCATATATTGTTCAAATAATGCAAGTTAGTAGGATGTCTATTTGATAAACAATGTATACACAATTATTGTGGCAGTAATAAAAGTTTATAAAGAAAAATAAACCAACCAAAGTTATATAAATATATTTATTTGTTTGACTGTCACACCCATGTCATATTAGATTGATGTCCCATTCTGACTGCCACACCCATGTCATATTACATTGATATCCCATCCTGACTGCCACACCCATGTCATATTAGATTGATATCCCATCCTGATTGCCACACCCATGTCATATTAGATTGATATCCCATCCTGACTGCTAACCCCATGTCATATTAGATTGATATCCCATTCTGACTGTCACACCCATGTCATATTAGATTGATATCCCATTCTGACTGTCACACCCATGTCATATTAGATTGATGTCCCATTCTGACTGCCACACCCATGTCATATTACATT